TGGGGCACTATTCCTCCCACTGACACCAATGATGGGGCACTATTCCTCCCACTGACACCAATGATAGGGTACTATTCCTCCCACTGACACCAACAATGGTGCATTATTTCTTCCACTGACACCAATGATGGGTTACAATTTCTTCCAATGATGGGGCAATACTCTTCCTTTTACTGACCACCAACCCCGAGGCCATGTTTATTCTCAGTGATGTTGGGTCCGGGACATTTTCCACCCCCACTGACCACAATCCGGCCCCCCCTAAAGTCTGGGGTACAGTAAACTGGCCCTAGGAATGAAAAGTCTGGAGACCCCTGAGCTAAACTATCACAGGGCCCTCCTATTCCTTCAGTACTGAACTGTCGTATAATTGTCCCGTCCAGGGGCGTACTGACCGTTTGTAAACTCAGGCACTGCCCGAGGGCCCGGGGTCAGTAGGGGGCCCCATGAGATGCCCCTGGTACCTTTTTCATAGGCTTTGGCAAGGACACAGGGGCCCCATGATCCCCTATTGCCCGGGGGCCCCATGAGTTGTCAGTCCGCCCCTGGTCCCGTCTCCCTCATATTGTACAGCGCTGCGCAGACTGTTGGCGCTATATATAAATCCTGTATAATAGTAATCATCGGAGGATTGTCGAGGTGATTGAACCATCTCGGTGCTGCACCCTCCTGAAAACGAGCTTTTTAAAAAGTTGATCGCCTTAATTCTGCAGCTCTCACACTTTAATTGGAACTGAGCAACGCACAATACGAGAATATTGGAGGACACTTCAGGATGTCATCATTTACGATAACAAGACATGTACTTTTATAGTTCATAAGTAGCTTTTAAGTGGTCAGCTGACCAGAAGCCTCCAATCACAGCCCGGAGATTGGCTTAATGAGAAATGATGAATAATTAGTCACCCTTGATGAAGTCACATCTCCCGATAATGGAAGGCGTTACGCCCGCCCAGCCCTGCAGTGTTCCAGAGCTGACACACTGAACGTTGCAAAATATCTCGGAGGTTTCCGCTCCTTCTCCTGCCCATACACTGACCCCACGCACCCCGGCGATGTTCTGCGCCTCATTACGACATTTCCTCTTTCACCGCGCAGACAGACGCTCACAGTGCAGATAATGGAAGACATGTGCGGCCATTTATAGCCAACATCAATTTTTTTACGCCTGTATGGGCAAACTAGGTGGACGCCAAAGGCCAACACCATGCCAGGGGCCATAGAAAGTGTCTCATGATTGCTTCTTAGATTTCTTTCTGCTTTTATAGTGTTTGTTTTTGGTTTCTCACAACCCCCGTCTATACCTTTTATAATGCAGGGAATTTGTGTTTGTAGGATTATGGTGTATTTAGTTGGGTTTGTAGGATCTGTAGCGTATTCAGTTGGGTTTGTAGGACTCAGTAAAGTTTGTAGGATTCGGGGTGTATTTGGTCGATTTTGTAGGATTTGGGGTCTGTTGGGTTGAGTTTGCAGGACTCCGGATGTATTGCGGTGAGTTTGTAGGATTTGGTTGAGTTTGTATGGTTCAGGGTGGATTTGGGTTGAGTCTGGAGGATTCAGTTGCATTTGTAGGGTTTGGGGTATATTCAGTTGAGTTTGTAGTGTTTAGGGTGTATTCGGTTTGAGTTTGGAGGATTTGGTTGCATTTGTAGGGTTTGGGGTGTATTTGGTTGAGTTTGTAAGGTTCAGGGCATATTCGGTTGAGTTTGGGGGATTCGGTTACATTTGTAGGGTTTGGGGTATATTCAGTTGAGTTTGTAGTGTTTAGGGTGTATTCGGTTGAGTTTGGAGGATTTGGTTGCATTTGTAGGGTTTGGGGTGTATTTGGTTGAGTTTAGAGGATTCAGTTGCATTTGTAGGGTTTGGGGTATATTCAGTTGAGTTTGTAGTGTTTAGGGTGTATTCGGTTGAGTTTGGAGGATTTGGTTGCATTTGTAGGGTTTGGGGTGTATTTGGTTGAGTTTGTAAGGTTCAGGGCATATTCGGTTGAGTTTGGGGGATTCGGTTACATTTGTAGGGTTTGGGGTATATTCAGTTGAGTTTGTAGTGTTTAGGGTGTATTCGGTTGAGTTTGGAGGATTTGGTTGTATTTGTAGGGTATGGGGTATGTTGTGTTTAGTAGTGTTCAGGGTGTATTCAGTTGAGTTTGTAGTGTTCAGGGTGTGTTTGGTTGAGTTTGGATGTTTTTGGTTGAGCTTGTAGGGTTCAAGGTGTATTCAATGGAGCTAGTTTGTAGGACTCACGGTGTATTTGGTTGCATTTGGAGGATTTAGTTGCAATTGTAGGGTTTGGAGTATGTTGTGTTTGTAGTGTTCAGGGTGTATTCGGTTGAGTTTGTAGGGTTTGGGGTGTATTCGGTTGAGTTTGGACGATTTGGTTGCATTTGTAGGGTTTGGAGTATGTTGTGTTCAGGGTGTATTCAGTTGAGTTTGTAGTGTTCAGGGTTGTTTGGTTGAGTTTGGAGGATTCGGTTGCATTTGTAGGGTTTGGGGTATATTCAGTCGAGTTTGTAGTGTTCAGGGTGTATTCGGTTGAGTTTGGAGGATTTGGTTGCATTTGTAGGGTATGGGGTATGTTGTGTTTGTAGTGTTCAGGGTGTATTCAGTTGTGTTTGTAGTGTTCCGGGGGTGGGTGGTGTTTGGTTGAGTTTGGAGGTTTTTGGTTGAGCTTGTAGGGTTCAAGGTGTATTCAATGGAGTTAGTTTGTAGGACTCGGGGTGTATTCGGTTGAATTTGTAGGGTTCGGGATGTATCAGTGGAGTTTGTTTGTAGGATTCAGGGTGTATTCCGCTGAGTATGAAGGATTCAGTTGAGCTTGTAACGTTTGTGGTGAATTTGGGGGGTGTGTATAGGATTCTGGGTGTATTACGTTGAGTTAGTTTGTAGAATTTGGGGTTGATATTTGACTCAAGGATTCGTGGTGTAATCAGTTGAGTTTTTAGGATTCAGCTGAGTTGGGAGGATTTGGTGTGTATTCAGTTGGTAGGGATTCGGGATGTATTTGGGTGAGTTTGTAGGGTTCAAGGTGTATTCAATGGAGTTAGTTTGTAGGACTCGGGGTGTATTCGGTTGAATTTGTAGGGTTCGGGATTGTATCAGTGGAGTTTGTTTGTACGATTCAGGGTGTATTCCACTGAGTATGAAGGATTCAGTTGAGTTTGTAGGGTTTGGGGTGAATTTGGTGGTGTGTGTAGGATTCTGGGTGTATCACGTTGAGTGTGTTTGTAGAATTTGGGGTTGATATTTGACCAGGGGCGGACTGACCATTCGGGTACTCGGGCACTGCCCGAGGGCCCAGGGTCAGTAGGGGGCCCCATGAGATGCCCCTTGTACCTTTCATAGGCCTTTTTGGGTGTAATTTAAGTGTGGGCAAGGACACAGGGGCCCCATAATCCCCTAATGCCCGAGGGCCCCATAAGTTGTCAGTCCGCCCCTGTATTTGACTCAAGGATTCGTGGTGTAATCAGTTGTGTTGGGAGGATTCGGTGTGTATTCAGTTTGTAATATTCGGGATGTATTTGGGTGAGTTTGAAGGATTCAGTTGAGTTGGGAAGATTTGGCGTGTATTGTTTGTAGGATTCGGGATGTATTTGGGTGAATTTGTAGGATTTGGAGTGTATTCATTTTAGGATTCGGGGTGTATTACGTTGAGTTAGTTTGTAAAATTTGGGGTTGATATTTGACTCAAGGATTCGTGGTGTAACCCGTTGAGTTTGTAGGATTCAATATGTATTCGGTTGAGTTTGTAGGAGGATTTGGAGTGTATTCAGTTTGTAGCATTCGGGATGTATTTGGGTGAGTTGGTAGGATTCAGGGTGTATTCGTTGAGTTGGGAGGATTTGGGGCGTATTCAGTTTGTAGGATTCGGGATGTATTTGGGTGAGTTGGTAGGATTCAGGGTGTATTCGTTGAGTTGGGAGGATTTGGGGCGTATTCAGTTTGTAGGATTCGGGATGTATTCGGTTGAGTTTGTAGGATTTGGAGTGTATTCAGTTTGTAGGATTTGGAGTGTATTCAGTTTGTAGGATTCGGGATGTATTTGGGTGAGTTTGAAGTATTCAGTTGAGTTTGTAGGATTTGGCGTGTATTCAGTTTGTAGGATTCAATGTGTATTCGGTTGAGTTTGTAGGATTTGGAGTGTATTCAGTTTGTAGGATTCGGGATGTATTTGGGTGAGTTTGTAGGATTCAGTGTGTATTCGGTTGAGTTTGTAGGATTTGGAGTGTATTCAGTTTGTAGGATTCCGGTTGTATTTGGGTGAGTTTGTAGGATTTGGCGTGTATTCAGTTTGTAGGATTCAGTTGAGTTGGTAGGATTCAGGGTGTATTCAGTTGAGTTGGGAGGATTTGGGGCGTATTCAGTTTGTAGGATTCCGGTTGTATTCGGTTGAGTTTGTAGGATTTGGAGTGTATTCAGTTTGTAGGATTCGGGATGTATTTGGGTGAGTTTGTAGGATTTGGCGTGTATTCAGTTTGTAGGATTCGGGATCTTTTTGGGTGAGTTTGTAGGATTTGGAGTGTATTCAGTTTGTAGGATTCGGGATGTATTTGGGTGAGTTTGTAGGATTTGGCGTGTATTCAGTTTGTAGGATTCGGGATCTTTTTGGGTGAGTTTGTAGGATTTGGAGTGTATTCAGTTTGTAGGATTGGGGATGTATTTGGGGGAGTTTGTAGGATTCAGTGTGTATTCGGTTGAGTTTGTAGGATTCAGTGTGTATTTGGGTGAGTTTGTAGGATTCGGAATGTATTCGGTTGAGTTTGTAGGATTTGGAGTGTATTCGTTTTATAGGATTCGGGGTATATTTGGTTTCTAGGATTTGAGGTGTACTCAGCTGAGCTTGTATGACTGAGTGTGCATTTGTCTGAGTCTGTACGATTTGGGGCGTATTCGGTCACTTTATCGACACAAAACAATGGAATTGTTATCAATCATAGGTAATAAAACAGGTTAAACTAACTTTATCCCACCCCCCCCCATCCCTTGCCCAGCGCAGAGCCTGACCTGTATCTTTGTAGGGGACCTCCGGGGCAAGATCGAGGTCTTGGCGGTGTAGAAGAGCTCCAATTCAGGATCGGACTCCTCCTGGCTGCAGTAGCCACTGCTGGTCGTGCTGTTCCAGGTCCTTTCGAAAGACGGGGTGTCCTTGTCACCTTTACCCATCGTGCCGCCTGAGCCGACGAAATCCGGCGATGCCTTTCCGTGCCCAACTTCGACGAGGTCCGCCGCTGACCGATGTGTGCTTGCGTCACCCCTTTCCTGGGCGCAATCTGTGCCTTGCAGAGAGTGTGGCAGATCTTCTCCAACTCTGAAGTTGAATGTATACAGACTGTGTAATCTCCTCTGTGATTGGGAAGGAGGAAAGGGAAGGACGGGAGGGGTAAAAAAAAAAAACGATGACTTCATCCCCCCAACCGCTCCACACCCACATCCTGTCATAGGGATTGCAGAAGCGTGTGCAGTGCAGGGGGAGGGGAGCCTCAGAACATTCACTTCTGCTAATCTGCAGCCATGTGCGTCCGGTTCCTCGGCAGATTCGCTTCGATAGAATCAAATATCGCAAAGGCTAAATCGTTCCCACGCAAAATGTAGCAAACGACGGATCTTAAAGTGTATGTTCGCCCCAATGACGGGTTTCTCTTACATTTTATATTGGTTTTTGGTCTTTTAGATGCCGTGTTACTGCGACAGAACGCATGCGCAGAGGGCAGCCCTGTCATTTCAACGAGCGAGAGAAGAACGCAAAACAAATCCCTGAGCCTTTTTCAAAACCGGTCCGCACCGAAACCGCACGGCGCTGTGGCTGCGGCACCATGTGTTCCGGCACGTATTCGTAGATGCGTGGGGGTGCCATTTAAAAGGATTAGCGAGCGAATGACTGTGCAGGGCGTGTGTGTGCGAGTGGCGGGGGGGATTGTCAGGACAAGTCTGATCATTGGAGGAGAGCACACCAAGTTCCCAGCACAGCTAGAGAACTGACCACGCTGTGCTCTCATGCCTAGTGTGGTCAGTTTTGAATAGATAAGCAGAGGGACTAACAGGAACACCGGGGATTTCACACAAAGGAAGCAATAGAAAGAGAAGACGTTTTCATACAAGTGCACGGATCAGGAACGTGTTGGGTTTACATATTCTGTAGACAATGGCAGGAATATCAGAATACTGCAGATATTACCCCCCTCCTAGAATCAATAACATTGTTTGAGAAATGAGTTTGGGGTGCAGGAAGTAGTGGAATTCTGGCAGGATCAACAGTTTTTTTTTACTGAACCTGCAGAAAATGTAATTTTTTTATTTAAGGGGTTCTAAAGGCTGAAGGTATTTTTACAATAATGCACTCCCCCCCCCCCCCCCCTTCCCCGAACCGATCTCGATCCAGCGTTGTGCCTGAGAGCAGCGGCTCTCCTGGCTCTTATCCTCCTCATTGGCTCAGATACAGCAGCAGGAGCCATTGGTGCTGTCAGTCACAGCCAGTGTTGTGGGGGCGGAGCTGAGCAGAGGCGGCTCCTCAATTAGGCAAATTAGGTGGTCGCCTTGCACTCACAGAGGCCTCCCGGCCACCTAATTTGCCTTTGATCAATCACAAATGTCGGCTCCGCTGGCTCTGCCTTCCCCCACCACCAAGTTGGGACTCTGTGGCCTAGGGGCAGACTGACCAATCAGGCACTACCTCTCTCTCACCCCCCTCTCTCTGTCACCCTCCTCTCTCACCATCCCCCCATCACCCCTTTCTCTCTTTCCCTCTCTCTCACTCTCACCCCTCTCTCTTTCTCACCCACCTTTCTCTGTCTCTCTGTCACCCTCCTCTCTCTCACCACACCCATCTCTCTCTCTTCCCTGCCCTCCCTCTCTCACCCCCCTCTCTCTCTCTTGCCCCCTCTCTCCCACCCCTCTCTCTTTCTCACCCACCTTTCTCTGTCTCTCTGTCACCCTCCTCTCCCTCTCTCCCACCCCCCCCCTCTCTCTCTTTCCCTGCTCTCCCTCTCTCACCCCCCCCTCTCTTCCCTGCTCTCCCTCTCTCACCCCCCACCTCTCAGGGCTGATAGGATACAATATACATCATACTTTACTGATCACATTGCAGCCCCCCCCCCCCTCTCAGGGCTGATAGGGATACAATATACATCATATTTTTACTGATCACGTTGCAGCCCCCCCCCCCTCTCAGGGCTGATAGGATACAATATGCACAGGGGTGGACTGACCATTTGGAAACGCGGGCCCTGCCCGAGGGCCTGGGGTCAGTAGGGGCCCTCATGAAATGCCCCTGGTACCTTTTTCATAGGCTTTTTTGAGTTTGGGCAAGGACACAGGGGCCCCATGATCCCCTATTGCCCGGGGGCCCCATTAGTTGTCAGTCCGCCCCTGAATATGCATCATATTTTACTGATCACGTTGCAGCCCCCCCCCCCTCAGGACTGATAGGATACAATATACATCATATTTATTCCTGGGTTTAGATATACTTTAAATACCAATGACTACATTTCCTGTATCGTACAATTTCTGAGTCATGGAAAATCCCCGATCTGATTACTTCTGTTTCGCTTTTCATGATGCGTGAGTAATAAATAAACAGAAAATGTACAAAGACTCATTGCTGCAAATACAGTACATAGGAAAGAGCCGATGCGGCCCAGGCGGGACATTTCCAGGGACAGATCTTCCAGCCCCGGGACATTTCCAGGGACAGATCTTCTAGCCCCGGGACATTTCCAGGGACAGGTCTTCCAGCCCCGGGACGGTTCCAGGGACAGGTCTTCCAGCCCTGGGACGGTTCCAGGGACAGGTCTTCCAGCCCCGGGACGGTTCCAGGGACAGGTCTTCCAGCCCCGGGACGGTTCCAGGGACAGGTCTTCCAGCCCCGGGACGGTTCCAGGGACAGGTCTTCCAGCCCCGGGACGGTTCCAGGGACAGGTCTTCCAGCCCCGGGACGGTTCCAGGGACAGATCTTCCAACCCCGGGAGGGTTCCAGGGACAGATCTTCCAACCCCGGGAGGGTTCCAGGGACAGATCTTCCAGCCCCGGGACGGTTCCAGGGACAGATCTTCCAGCCCCGGGACGGTTCCATGGACAGATCTTCCAGCCCCGGGACGGTTCCAGGGACAGGTCTTCCAGCCCCGGACGGTTCCAGGGACAGATCTTCCAACCCCGGGAGGGTTCCAGGGACAGATCTTCCAGCCCCGGGACGGTTCCAGGGACAGGTCTTCCAGCCCCGGGACGGTTCCAGGGACAGATCTTCCAACCCCGGGAGGGTTCCAGGGACAGATCTTCCAGCCCCGGGACGGTTCCAGGGACAGATCTTCCAGCCCCAGGACGGTTCCAGGGACAGATCTTCCAGCCCCGGGAGGGTTCCAGGGACAGATCTTCCAGCCCCGGGACGGTTCCAGGGACAGGTCTTCCAGCCCCGGGACGGTTCCAGGGACAGGTCTTCCAGCCCCGGGACGGTTCCAGGGACAGGTCTTCCAGCCCCGGGACGGTTCCGGAAGACAGTGGGTGACTCTTCCCTTTACATCCATTTATCTGGATGTTGCATATTCCGGATTCGTTCTGCTCCGGTCACGCAGTCTATATCTCATTGTACGCTATATTTATTAAATTGACTCAGGGTCACATGTCCCTGTATCTCCGGGGAGGGGGATGGGGGGGGGGTTCTATTGTCCAGATGTGTGAACATCCTGCATTTAATAGTTCCTGGCTCTGTTCTCTGTCTGCAGGTCATCACCCCTCCAGATTATTGCTGTAATCTAATCCGCGTCTCCTAATTACATCACAGAGCAGTACACAGGCCGCTGCGGGGATATGGACATTTATAGCCATATGGGGGGTTCTGCTGGGAATATATAGATTGTATAGCCATATGGGGGGGGGGGTTCTGCTGGGAATATATAGATTGTATAGCCATATGGGGGGGTTCTGCTGGGAATATATAGATTGTATAGCCATATGGGGGGTTCTGCTGGGAATATATAGATTGTATAGCCATATGGGGGGGTTCTGCTGGGAATATATAGATTGTATAGCCATATGGGGGGGGGGGCTCTGCTGGGAATATATAGATTGTATAGCCATATGGGGGGGCTCTGCTGGGAATATATAGATTGTATAGCCATATGGGGGGGGGGGGGGCCTCTGCTGGGAATATATATAGATTGTATAGCCATATGGGGGGGGGGGCTCTGCTGGGAATATATAGATTGTATAGGTCCATATGGGGGGGGGGGCTCTGCTGGGAATATATAGATTGTATAGCCATATGGGGGGGCTCTGCTGGGAATATATAGATTGTATAGCCATATGGGGGGGGGGGCTCTGCTGGGAATATATAGATTGTATAGCCATATGGGGGGGCCTCTGCTGGGGATATAATAGATTGTATAGCCATATGGGGGGGGGGGCTCTGCTGGGAATATATATAGATTGTATAGCCATATGGGGGGGGGCTCTGCTGGGAATATATAGATTGTATAGCCATATGGGGGGGGCCTCTGCTGGGAATATATAGATTGTATAGCCATATGGGGGGGGGGGGCTCTGCTGGGAATATATAGATTGTATAGCCATATGGGGGGGGGCTCTGCTGGGAATATATAGATTGTATAGCCATATGGGGGGGGGCCTCTGCTGGGAATATATAGATTGTATAGCCATATGGGGGGGCTCTGCCTCTGCTGGGAATATATAGATTGTATAGCCATATGGGGGGGCCTCTGCTGGGAATATATAGATTGTATAGCCATATGGGGGGGGGGGGCTCTGCTGGGAATATATAGATTGTATAGCCATATGGGGGGGGGGGGGCTGGGAATATATAGATTGTATAGCCATATGGGGGGGGGGGGCTCTGCTGGGAATATATAGATTGTATAGCCATATGGGGGGGGGGGAATATATGATCTGTGCTGGGAATATATAGATTGTATAGCCATATGGGGGGGGGGGGGGTCTGCTGGGAATATATAGATTGTATAGCCATGGGGGGGCCTCTGCTGGGAATATATAGATTGTATAGCCATATGGGGGGGGGGGGGGGGGCTCTGCTGGGAATATATAGATTGTATAGCCATATGGGGGGGGGGGCTCTGCTGGGAATATATAGATTGTATAGCCATATGGGGGGGGGGGGCTGCTGGAATATAGATAGATTGTATAGCCATATGGGGGGGGGGGCTCTGCTGGGAATATATAGATTGTATAGCCATATGGGGGGGGGGGGGCTGCTGGGAATATATATATTGTATAGCCATATGGGGGGGGGCCTCTGCTGGGAATATATAGATTGTATAGCCATATATGGGGGGGGGGCTCTGCTGGGAATATATAGATTGTATAGCCATATG